GAGCATTTGGACAAGTGAGTCGCAAAGCCGAAGACGTTTAGCAATTGGCTCTTGGTAGAGTAAAGAGGGTGTGAGTTTGAGTCGGAGTTTATTGTACTTTGCTTTAACTATAGTGGACCATTACACTCGAGGTCGTGTGATAGTCTCCGAAGGTTTTTCTTCACATGGATGAATTTCTTTAGTTAGGGTTTCTTTGCTAAAATTCCGGTATGGTAAAATTAAAAATTTGGCAAAAATAAATAAAAGGACAAGTCGAACGTATCCACCCCGTTATTCCTTATGGAATATTTTTAAAATCAAAATCAATTTTTTTTTTTTCAAAAATCATAATGGATTATACTAATAAGGAATATGGATTTATTCAACCTTCATTTGATGGTGAGAATTATGTTTTTTGAAAACTTAACATGAAAGCGTTCTTAATGTCTCAAGGTAGGAATATTTGAACTACTGTTGAAAAACGTTGTGAGCCTCCAACTGTTACTACTATGAGAAGAATGAGTCTTTACAAAAAAAAGTTGAAACAAGTGGTGCCGATGAAAATAGCATAGTTTTAATTCTATATTTATATATGTTTTTCAAATTGAACTCACTCGAATTTCAAATTGCAGGACTGAAAAAGAAGCAAGAGATATTATTGAAGTTACCCACGAGGGTATAGATGATTTGAAAAAGTGGAAGATTGAGATTCAATATGATGTAAAATTGATTACGGAAGCCTATTTATCTTGTTTGGTTCAACCAAACGGGTATATTGATTGATTTTCTAGCCCGATCCCAAAGTGTACATTTTTTATCCAAAAGGAGAGTTGGTTTTTTTTTTTTTTTTTTTTTTTTTTTTTTTTTTTTTTTTTTTTTGTAAATGGCCCAATGAATAAGAGTCACCACTATGTACTCCACTTTTCAGCCAACTACCATCATTTAGGGCCTCAAATCGCGTTTTCATGTCGTATAGGAAGCCTGGTTAATATTTCAAAAATTTAGTTCATTGTATAAACAAAACTTTGATTGCTATCAAATTTTTAGATTTAGTAGTTTTATTCATTAGGATTCTTGTGCTATTTTTTTAAAATTTTGTAGAAAAACTTTATTTTTAGGCTTATTTTCGAAATTAGATATCCTTATGTTACAAATTTTCCTGTTGCAGTTGGTTTCCTTATGATTTAGGATTTTTTTTTTTCATTATAAATACATGTAATGCAGAGAGCGAAATCATTCATTCAATTATCGATACAATATCAGATTTTTCTGAATTTGATCTTTTGTTTTGTGAATTCAAAGTAGCATATCGTTCATTGTAAACAAACCTAACTATTGCTTACGTCACAATAAGTTTGAAAATATTAAGGATGAAATTTTTTCAGATTTTTATTTGAAACTTAATATAATTATTTTTGGTATTCGAAACTTAGGCAAGAAGATTAGTGATAAGACTGTCAATAAATTTTTTTTTTTGAAGTTTTTCAATATGAGGTTCAAAATTAAGGTTGAAACAATTCAAACAACTTTGAATACTGAGATTATGATGAGTTAGCAAGCCATCTAAGAAATTACAAGATGAAATATTATGAATTGTATATCAAAGATATGGTTCCAGGAAACATTCCTTTACATGACATTGATAGCCCAGCCAAAAGTGGTTTTTCTACTCACATGTGAAGTTGAAGATACATAAATCAAGTGGAATAATATTAAATGATATTTATGAAGAAAAAAAAAAAAGAAATAATATTAAATGTAGGACTAGCTATATGTACTCCATTCCTTCTATGAATTAGCTTTTGCCAATTAATTATTGATGGCTTATTAGCATGTTGGTTCTCTAGGCTGCAACAAAATTGGGTGCCCCTTTAATTAGACTAGGTAGGTAGTAGATAGTTGTGTGGTCCTTAATGCTCACAGTTGGGCCAATTTTTCCTATAAATTTTTTTATTATATATTTTTCAAATATTTTCATATATTTTTTTTGAATCTTTATAAATAAATGTATTTTTATTAGTTGCAGTTCCCATTCCACTAAAAAAAATGGATTTTTAGAATTTTCACAAAATTTCTCTTTCTAATAGTTAGTTATCTGCTTTATATGCATTTTTTAATTAGTTATTTTTTATTAATTACTACTAGATTAATGTCAACTGAATTATATTTTTATATATTTGTTTTTATTTTTGTAATTTCATTTATATTCACTACATACATGATACATTCTGCTTTTCTTATATTTCAAATATAATATGCTCCATCAAACCAAAATTCGTAGTTCTACATATTTTACTAATTTAACTCACTCACATCTTATTAAATATATGTGTTGGATGACTACAATCTATTATTTCTCTTCATGTCTAAATTATTTGGTTGTAATAATTTTACTCATATCATTTTTATATTATTAATTATAATTTTTAACCAAATAATATTGTATTATTAGTAAAATAGTGTTATAATCCATTTTTATAAACATTTAAAATGATTGAATATTTTCATTTTCCTAAATAATTTCTTTCCCTAAGTTGAATACGAAATTACTATTATACTATTAATGCATTTTAATTTGAAGGACCAACATCTAACTCTCAGGTGAACTTCTTGTTATTCATTTCAATGTGCAATTATTTTTTTAAAAAAAAATCTAAAAAAAGTATTGCATGTCAAGAAAGTTACTCAGAAATTGCGTGAATAATGTCAAGATCATGAACCTATTATACCTATTATAACATTGTGGGCAAGGAGCGGAGTTAGGATTGCAAAGTGGGAAGGATTAAAGATAAGAAAATTTGAAGATGAACACATGAAATATTAAACAATTTTCTTATAGAAGTGAAATATGGTAAGGGCATACCGTGTTCAATATGGTCTTAGTTCCATGTCCAAGCAACTATATCATGAAATGGATCATTTTTTACCAAAGACCTAATCCGAGAGGACCTAGAGACCTAATTTACTAAGTTTAGATCTCAACTTAAAATTAGGTATAAGAACATGTTTATTATCCACCATCAAAGTATCAATTGGAATTCGTTTTCCGCATAAAAATTAAATAAAATAAAAAAATTATTCAATTGAATCTTTAACATCCATTGAACTATTAATTGATAAAGGTACTCAGATTTTGAAATAAGATTGCCCATGTTCTAGGGAATATGAGTTTATATCCTAATTTGAAAGAAGAGTTGGATATTTCTTCACTTTCTAGCAGTTATAAACTTTTTGAATTGTGAATTGTAATTAACATAATTTATGCTCTTGGTTAAAGGGGGAAAAAAAATCAAAGATAAACATAGAAATAGTTTGAGGAAGAAGGATAGTAGGTAAATAGCCCAGAGAAACACAGGAACAATTGGGCTGATAGAAAGAGAAAAAGAGTAGTACTAAAAATTGATGAGATATGGACTGAGCTTATAGGAATAGTAGTACTAAATTTTTTGTTTTTAATTAGACTTGGGCTATAGCCCAGGTTAGCCCTTTAATAGTTTCGCCCCTGTAAGTCCGGGTGGCTAGAGTAATTTTGTACAAACCTTAACGGAGGTTGACCATATTTTTTCACGTAATTTCATTTATGAATAATTGGAACACATTTTAAAGGAGGTCAGAGTAATTTACCCATATATATACAAAAAAGTTATACTTTAGTAATACTCTCTTATCTTTAAAAAGCAAATGGGTGGGTGTGTATCTTGTCAATGTTTAAAAAAAAAAAAATTATAAAATGTACATTCTTGAGATGTTAAGGTCTGGACTCAGAAACATGAGGCGTGGGCTAAAAAAGCCCATATTATACCATATCTAACTAATAGCAATTAGTTACAAAAGGGTAGCCCAATGAATTAGGCCCATTAGGCCCAAGCCACTACTACTACATTTACAACCCATCTCGTGGGTTTATAATTCTATTTGTCCTCCTAGATTGTCCATTTATTACATCTAAAACTAGTAGGCCATGTTGTGTATCTGATGGAATAATAACCTTTCAATCTTTGCTTGTTGACTGATCTATCTTTCTAATTAGAAAGAAGTCAATTTGGCCTATATATGATCTACTTTTAAAATTATTAAATGTCCATTTCTCTTTTTAAATAGATGTTTTCAATTATAAGGTTATATGTCATTGCAAAATTTAACACTAACTTGTAAGACTTTGACAAAATATGAATGTAACACTAGTCTTTCATAAATCATTAAAAAAAAAAAAAAAAAAGGTTAGCGAAAATTGGTTTAACCTAGTTTTACTTGAAATAAACTAATTCGAAATTAGTTATTCCATTTTTATATAGCATGGCCCTATCAGTACTGTGAAAAGAGAGGATATCTACACATAGGTTTAGAGGAAAATATTGAATACCAGTTATTTTAGGTCCCGACCAATAGAATTTAATTTAATCTATATTAATTCCTATCTAACTAATAATTGATATTGAAAATTGATAAAACTCCTTTTCCTCTACTATGAAAAGAAGCCTCATTTTTATGAATAAATATCTTTTTCTTTTTAATTGATATGAAACATCTTCTTTCAAGAAATTATTTGTACTCAAGAGAAGTCGAACTTTATTTTTATATTTTTGAGTCATAGGACCAAATTATCACCTGCCCGAACGAAGAATTTAATATATAAATAAGCCTCCTTTCCATGAATTTTGCTCCACCATTCATAAATCACTTTTACACATTGAGAAGTCTTTCCTTACAAATTTTAAGAAAAGATGAATAATGCATCCTGAGTTATAATGTAAAACTTTATTTATTTATTTATTTTTATTTTAGTCAAACAAGAAGAAAATTAAAAGAAAAAGAAAAAAAATGCAATGTATTGTGGTTTGTTTGTTTCTTGCGACTTTTCTATAGCTGCCAATCTTTTTCATTCTCTTTCTTCTCACTTGTCATGACTAGGCCCACTATTAATTTTAAGTCATCCCCCTCATTTGTCTGATGAATGGCTTTGATTTTTCAAAGAACTTTATATTATTATAGCCACACAATAATAGAATATAATAATATTCCATCTTCTTTATCTTCATCTTCTTCGTCTTCATATTAATCCAACTCGCAATCAGTCTTTGATCTCATCCTTTCTCTGTCTCGGCCATATACAAATACCCACAAGCAAGAATTTACACACACACATTATATATATATATATATGTATATGATGTCAAGAGCATTTAGTAGTTTAGTTGGGCTTATGGCTCTTGTAGTTGCTCTTTTTCCTGAAGCTTATATTGCCCAAGAAATAGGAAAAAAACAGTGCTCCCTTTCTTGCGGAGACATTGGTAACATCAGCTACCCTTTTCACTTGAAAGACCATCCTCGTAGCTGCGGTGACGGTCACCACCAACTGGTTTGTGAGAACAATCGCACAACTCTGGACCTGTCTGGAGTCAAATACTATGTCCAAGAGATCTCTTATGAGAACCGAACAATTACTTTAGTGGATGTCGATATAAAAAACGATTACTGCTCCTTTCCTCGCAATTCGTTTCCATTGTCTAATATTTATTATGGTCTATACAGAGATTTCATATATTTTGTGAGTTGTCCAAACCCGGTGAATTCTTCAAACTACACAGATTTCTCTTCTTGTGCCAACAGCACCAGCATTTCTTCGTCCTCCAAACCAAACTCATCATCATATCTTGTTTCAACTGATTTAATGGAAATTCGTGACTCCTGTACCATCCTTGTTCAGTATCCGTCTCCATTCATCATTGATTCCTATTGGAACCTCACTCTTTCTGATATTCATCAAGAGTTGCTTCGAGGGTTTCAGCTTAGCTACTATGGCGGTTACAAATATCCATTATGGGAGAGTTATGTACTATGGAGGTATCTAATGCATGCCAAAGGTTGTTGATAGAAACACACACGATCACTCACACACACACACAGACACACACAAAAAGGGGCTATGTTTGGGAGCACATTGAAGAAATTTAGTTAAAATTTTGGACTAAATATTCTCAGATGCAAAATCCGAAGTGATCATGGCAGCTTACGTGTATATATAGCTAGCTTGCTTCTGCAGAAAATACTAACTTCACGTCATCCATGATTGTAAAGTGGGAGGAATTAAAGATAAGAAAATTTGAAGATGAACACATGAAATATTAAACAATTTTCTCGTAGAAGTAAGATATGATAAGGGCATACTGCGTTCAATATGGTCTTAGTTCCATGTTCAAGCAACTAAATCATGAAATGGATCATTTTTGACCGAAGATCTAATCCGAGAGGACTTAGAGACCTAATTTACCAAGTTTAGATCTCAACTTAAAATCAAGTAATAAGAATATGTTTGTTATCCACCATCAAAGTACCCATTGGAATTCGTTTTCCGCGTAAAAATAAAATAAAAAATTATTCAATTGAATCTATAATACCAATTGAACTATTAACTGATCAAAGTGCTCAGATTTTGAAATAAGACTGCCCATGTTCTAGGGAGTATGATTTTATGTCCTAATTTGAATGAAGAGTTAGATATTTCCTCACTTTCTAGCAGTTATAAACTCTTTAAATTGTGGTTTGTAATTAACATAATTTCTGCTCTTGTTTAAAGGTGGAAAAAATCAAAGATAAACATAGAAACAGTTCAAGGAAGAAGGATAGTAGCAGCATATAGCCTAGATAAACACAAGAATAGTTGGACTGAAAGAAAAAGGAAGAGTAATACTAAAAATTGATTAGATATAGATTGAGCTTATAGTAACATACTAACAGTAGTATTATTTATTTATTTATTTGATTAGACCTGGGCTATAGCCCAGGTTAGCCCATTAATACTTTTGCCACCTGGAAGTCCGGGTGGCTGGAGCAATTTTGTACAAACCTTGAGAGAGGTTGATCATATTTTTTCACATAATTTCATTTATGAATAATTTGGACACATTTTAAAGGAGGTTAAAGAAATTTACTCATATACATACAAAAAGTTGTAGTTTAGTGAAACTCTTTAATCTTTTAAAAGCAAATGGGTAGGTGCGTATGGTCAATGCTTAAAAAAAAAAAGAAAAAATTGTAAAATGTACATTCTTGAGATGTTAAGGCGTGGACTCATAAACATGAGACGTGGGCTAAAAATGCCCATATTGTGATCTAACTAATAGGAATTAGGCCCAAGCCAGTACTACTACATTTACATCCCACCTCTATTTGTCCTCCTAGATTGTCCATTTATTACATCTAAAACTAGTGGCCCATGTTGTGTCTCATTTGGCCTGATCTAATTTTAAAGTTATTAAATGTTCATCTCTCTTTTTAAATAGATATTTTCAATTATAAGGTCATATGCCATTGCAAAATGTAACACCAACTTGTTAGACTTTGACAAAATATGAATGCAACACTAGTCTTTCATAAATCATAATATTATAAAAGAAAAAAAGAAAAGTTAGCAAAAATTAGTTTAACCTAGTTTTACTTGAAATAAACTGATTCGAAATTAGTTATTCCATTTTTATATAGTATGGCCCTATCAGTATTATGAAAAGAGAGGATATCTACACATAGGTTTGGAGGAAAATATTGTATACCAATTATTTTAGGTCCCGACCAATAGAATTTAATTTAATCTATATTAATTCCTATCTAACTAATAATTGATATTAAAAATTGATAAAACTCCTTTTCCTCTACTATGAAAAGAAACCTCATTTTTATGAATATATATATTTTTCCTCTCTAGTTGATAGAACACACACTCTCTCAAAAAATTATTTGCACTTAAAAGAAGTCGAATTTTATTTCTAATATTTTTGAGTTATAGGGCTAAATTCTTATCTACCCAAACTTTTAGGATGAATTTAATATATAAACAATGGTGAACTAATATAAATAAGCCTCCTTTTTATGAATTTTGCTCCACCATTCATAATCACTTTTTACAGATTGAGAAGTCTTTTCTTACAAATTTGGTTTTTCAATACAAACCAAAAAGTGACCCTAGAATAAATAACCTGTGTTACAATGTCAAACTTTATTTCATTTCTTATTTTTATTTTAGTCAAACAAGAAGAAAAGTAAAAGAAAAAGAAAATAATGCAATGTATTGTGGTTTGTTTTTTTCTTGCGACTTTTCTATAGATGCCAACTGACAAACCCCTCAACCTTTTTCCTTTTATTTCTTCTCACTTGTCATGACTGGTAGGCCCACTATCAATTTTAAGTCATCACCTCATCTGTCTGATGAATGGCTTTGATTTTTCAAAAAACTTTATATTATTACAGCCGCACAATAATAGAATATAATAATATTCCATCTTCTTTATCTTCATCATCTTCATCTTCATATTAATCCAACTCGCAACCAGTCTTTGATCTCATCCTTTCTCTGTCTCAGCCATATACAAATACCCACAAGCAAGAATTTACACACACACATATTATATATATATATATGTATCTGATGTCAAGAGCATTTAGTAGTACTGTTGGGCTTATGGCTCTTGTAGTTGTTCTTTTTCCTGAAGCTTATATTGCCCAAGAAATAGGAGAAAAACAGTGCTCCCTTTCTTGCGGAGACATTGGTAACATCAGCTACCCTTTTCACTTGAAAGACCATCCTCGTAGCTGCGGTGACGGTCACCACCAACTGGTTTGTGAGAACAATCGCACAACTCTGGACCTGTCTGGAGTCAAATACTATGTCCAAGAGATCTCTTATGAGAACCGAACAATTACTTTAGTGGATGTCGATATAAAAAACGATTACTGCTCCTTTCCTCGCAATTCGTTTCCATTGTCTAATATTTATTATGGTCTATACAGAGATTCCATATATTTTGTGAGTTGTCCAAACCCGGTGAATTCTTCAAACTACACAGATTTCTCTTCTTGTGCCAACAGCACCAGCATTTCTTCGTCCTCCAAACCAAACTCATCATCATATCTTGTTTCAACTGATTTAATGGAAATTCGTGACTCCTGTACCATCCTTGTTCAGTATCCGTCTCCATTCATCATTGATTCCTATTGGAACCTCACTCTTTCTGATATTCATCAAGAGTTGCTTCGAGGGTTTCAACTTAGCTACTATGGCCGTTACAAATATCCATTATGGGTGAGGTATGTACTATGGAGGTATCTAATGCATGCCAAAGGTTGTTGATAGAAACACACATAATCACACACACACACACACACAAAAAAAGGGGGCTATGTTTGGGAGCACATTCGAAGAAATTTAGTCAAAATTTTGAACTAAATATTTTCGGATGCAAAATCCAAAATGTCAGATTCAGTGCTCTCAAATATAACAAAAATGTATTCTTATTTCTTAGTGATCATGGCAGCTTACGTGTATATCTAGCTAGCTTGCTTCTGCAGAAAATACTAACTTCACGTCATTCTATTGGCTGAATGCAGGTTATTGGAATTTGTTTTCCCTAATCTAAGTAAGGATATGCCATTCCATCAATTTCTTTTCTTTACTTGATTTTAATTTTCTTGTATACCTCATTTTGATATATTAATTTATTCGTTTATCAGAGCGACTAATCATCGCGGGAATCACGGCAGGTGAGTTAAAATAAAAAACCTAGTCTCTAGCTCTCTCACATGTTAATTAAAATTTTACTAATATCTAATCTCTCGATATCCATCTCTTTTTTAGGAGTGTACATCATATTAAGGATTTCAATTGGGTTGTTGTGCTTGATTATATTGTTGGCATATAGATTCCGACGAAGGCACTTGTCCATCGATGATACCATCGAAAATTTTCTCCAGAGTCAAAACAACTTCATGCCAATCAGGTACTCCTATTCAGATATAAAGCAGATGACCAAAAGTTTCAAGGATAAGTTAGGTCAAGGAGGATATGGCTCCGTGTTCAAAGGAAAGCTCCGAAGTGGTGATCTTGTAGCAGTAAAAGTATTGAACACGTCAAGAGGTAATGGGCAAGATTTCATCAGTGAAGTTGCCACAATCGGAAGGATTCATCATGTTAATGTGGTGCGAATGATTGGATTTTGTGCAGAGGGATCTAGAAGAGCCCTCGTGTATGACTTCATGCCTAATGGATCTCTTGATAAGTTCATCTTCTCACGAGAAGAAAATAATCTCTCCATCATCAGGTGGGATACAATGTATGAGATTGCGGTTGGAGTGGCTCGAGGGATTGAATACTTGCATCGAGGTTGTGCCATGCAAATTCTACATTTTGATATCAAGCCTCACAATATTCTTCTAGACGGACGCTTTGTAGCAAAAGTTTCAGACTTTGGCCTTGCAAAATTGTACCCCACAGATGATAGTATTGTCTCTCTCACTGCAGCAAGGGGAACACTTGGATATATTGCTCCGGAGTTGTTTTATAAGAACATTGGAGGTGTGTCATATAAAGCTGATGTTTATAGCTTTGGTATGCTGTTAATGGAAATGGTGGGGAAAAGGAAATATGAAAATGCACATGCAGAGCACGCAAGTGATCTATACTTCCCATTTTGGATTTATGACCATATCAATCAAGGAGAGGATTTAAATTTGGGAGATGTCAATGAAGAAGAAAAAGGTTGTGCGAGGAAGATGATCATAACTGCATTGTGGTGCATACAACTGAAGCCTGTGGATCGTCCCTCCATGAGCGAAGTCCTGCAAATGCTAGAAGGGGAGGAGGGGCTGCTGCAAATGCCTCCCAAGCCTTTCCTTTATTCCAATGTAATGTCAGTGGAGGATCAAGCAGATAACAACACAATAGGGTTATCAACTTCATCCCATGCTGTTATGAGCGTAACCATTGATGAGATGTTAAGGTAGGAGTGTGTACTTAATTACTCTGTTATTGATGCTTTGTAGACTTGGTTGCTTTTAAAATTAATCATGTCAAATTAATTAAAACGTATGTCAAGTGCACTCGTCTAAAGAAAAATAAAATAACTTTCGTACTCTCCATTGTTGTTGCTCAATTTTAGCTCTAATGGTGTAATTCAAATTAGGAGTGACAAGACCAAGCTAATCTTCACAACTTTTTATTATTTATTATTAATGAGTTTGGATAATTAGTGATGGAGCAAGAAAATAATTTGAGAGGAAACGTCATTG